TGTGCCGGCAATGCCTGCATTGGCCAAGGATCCCTGCCCACTCGCCCTGCTTGCCTATATGCCAGTGCTGCGTGTGGGCGGCCTCCCTTCAGCCTCCGACTGGGCCCCAGTGCCTGAACCCAGGCCCGATGCAGTTGGGGCCCGGGTGATGCAGTTGCGCCTCTTTCGTCAAGGCCTGAGACCAGATTCAGATAGTGGGCCGATTTCCCTTTGGCATTTTCGGCCTCTATACCCAGCATGCATTGTCGGCCTCACGTTCAAGTGCCAAGGGCCTAACTAACTCAGAGGCCCTGGGATCTCCACATTTGCAGAGATTCGAGACCCGGTGCACTCCAGCCAACTGGCGTGCTGCAACTGTATGGAACCCCTACTTCGGGAAATCTTTGCAGAGAGGGCTCTTGTTGATTTGCTGGCCCGCCTTCACTTAGGGCGGGCACTAGGCTTGCTGGGGCCTTAGCCCAGAACATGTACATCATGGCAAGGCCCCTTCTTGAGGGCTCAATCCTCACATTCCATCCCCCTTAGCTTCGAAAGTCCGCTGAGATGCTTACTTCGCAGGTGCCTTCCCTTTCAGCAGTCTCTCATATTCTACCACCACCTGAGGAGCTGTCTCAATCAGTTCCTCTCTGGTAAACCACTGATCTTCTTTTGGGTCCGTATGATGCCTGAATCTGACGCGATACACTCTCTTGTGTTTAGGAGGTCTTCCGCGACCCAGCGGCTTCGGAACAAGCATATCCCTGTGATCCACAATGTCGTCGATGTCCACTTGACCATCCATGGTTGGGGGCAGCATCGATCTCCTRGAAGGGAATTGATCGGTCTCAGCGAAAGGTGCAAGCTTTGAGGCATGAAAGACTGGGTGAATGCGTAGGTGTCCAGGGACACGAATGACATATGTGGGGCCATCCATCTCATCTCCCACTATATCCAGGACTTCCCAGGGACCAAAGTACTGAGGCATTAGTTTGCGAGAGATTCCGAATTCCTGTCCTAACTCACTAGCCTTGACCCAGACACGTTCCCCTACCTGAAATGTGGACTGTCTACGGTGTTGATTCTCAGAAGCAATCATTGCTTGCTGAGCTTTCTTCATGTGCTCGACAGCGTCTTGCAGCAACTTCTCATACTGCACACCATACTCAAGTGTGCTTGGAGTTGCAGCTCGGGTCGGTTTTCAGGTAGGAGGAAGTCTAATGTTGATCTAGGCTTCCATCCCAAGTGTAGCTGATTAGGACTAACGTCGGTAATGCTGTGGACAGCATTGTTGTACAGGCTGGCGATGAGAGGCAGCTGCTCATCCCAGTCATCCTGGTTGGGCTTGATGTAATGCCTCAGCAAGTGCTGTACAACTCTGTTCATTTGCTTGGCTTGTCCGTTGGCTTCGGGATGATTCCCTGAAGTCATCTGAGGTTGACTGCCCATCTGTTCTGCAGTCTTCTTCCACAACTCAATTGTGAATCGGACATCTCGGTCACTAACGATTGACTTTGGTAAACCAAAGTCACGCACCCAGTTGTCTTTGAACAACTTGATGACATAATCAGTTCTTGCGGTCTCTGGCATAGCCACTAGTCTAGCGTACTTGGTGAATCGATCGATGATGACGAAGATGTGCCTCTTGCCCCTCTTACTAGTCACCAGGGTGTCCATGAAATCCATGGAAACACTCTGTCCTGAACCAGCAGGAATAGGCAAAGGCTTCAACAACCCAAGCGGTGCTTGATTTCGCGGCTTGTCCCGCTGACAGACCTGACAGGTCTCTACGTACTTCTTTGCGTCATCTAACATTCCTGGCCACCAAAATCGTTGTACTAGGTTAGCACTTGTCTTCTTGTAGCCAAAGTGCCCAGTTGCGTCATGACATTCGCCTAAAAACAAACTACGCAAACGTTTGCTAGATGGAACTACTAATCTTTTTATTCCGGCCTTATGAAGATAGAGTAACCCGTCCACCATCACAAACTCACTTTCGTGGCCTTGGCTTTTGCTTGAAGTTTGTGCATGATGTCCATCATGGCAAGGTCTTCCTGATAGGCTCCCTCCAATGATTGAGTTACTTCTTCAGATACGCCAAAGTCAGAAACTAGCGCACCTAGGTAGTCTGCTCTACGTGATAGCGCATCAGCAACCTTGTTATACTCTCCCTTCAGATACTCAAGCTTGAAGTCATATTGGTCTATGACCTCAATTCATCGCTTGAGTGCGTCAGA